CTGATGAGTGCCGCCCAACACAACTGAGTCACTGTTTGGTAGTATATAGTGATCGCCGGCAATCACTCCGTGTCTAATCCACGGCGCGTTCACACGATATACTTGACCACGAATTGGGTATACTTTGCTATCGCCGCACAACTTGTTTGCCTCAACACCCGTGCAATTAATTACTATATCATACTTTCCGCACAATTCCTTTATATCGTTCACTCGCTTTTGGACAATACTTCCCCCCTTTATAAGCAAAACATTCGGGTTAAATCATAATTAAAACAATAGCTAACTTATATATTAGTATTACTCTTAATATTGTTATTAATTACTTGCCTTTGATTTAAATTCTCGCATCAAAAACGGCAATAATTTAGTGCATTCGGCGTAATATGTGGTCACAAACACCCCTTTCGTCCACTTTCTGGAAAACAGATTCATCTCCTGTGCCGTCATATCTCTGCAGCAAATCATCTCTTCATCGCAATCCGTCCTCTCATACACTTCACCCCTCTGTTCGTCAAACAACATATACACTGACATCAAACCAATACCTAATTTACCGGCATTTTCTGACACCCAGTGGTCCCTTAAATAGCTCATTGTGTCCCTAACCCATCGGCGGACACGTGTCGGGTCAGTACTGCCCGTCATATACGGGTATATATGTCCGGCGCTGCCGTCGCCGGTAGTGTTTGGCGTGAATTCAGCCGATATTAGCGTTATATCAATATTAAATATGTTTTCAATGAGAACCACCGCTGATGTCATGCCTATGATTCCGGCGCCGATTACACCGATTTTGGTCCGTTTGGCCGACATTTTGGGATCAATTGAATTAATTTTAAGACAGTATTAGTTTTAAACACTATTTTTCTAAAACACTAAAATTAAATGAATTGAAAAATATTTAATTGGTTGAAGTGTTGTTTGAGTAAACGTGATATGAATTTATTATATGTTTATAATCATAGATGATTGAGTATTTTGTGATAAATTATTAATTTTTAGTGATAATTCATTGCATTTTGACGTGTATTTTGTAGTATTTTTATAAATTACATTAAACAGAAATGATCATGTTCTAAGTTTTTATCAGTATTTTGATTGTGTTTTTTATGTGAAAAATATTTTACTACTTTATAATTTTTTATTAATAAAAAATATAGCATTAATCAATAAATAATAATTTGCATAATATTTATTTATCAAAATAAAAAGTTATACAGTGCACATAAAATCAATTATAATCAATTTAATGTTTATTATCAAAAATGATTATAAAATTACAGTATTAATAATTGTTTTACGATTTTATAGAATCTATAAATCATATTTATTAAATATAATTGAATAAAAATTATAAAGTTGAGCAATTAATTAATTTATAATATAATTCATTAAATAAAAAAATGCAAATTATAAATGAACACACAAGTATAAAAATCAAGTTTAAATACTAGTGAACCTAATGAGATTGAGCAAAATGTTATATAACTACAACTCCCTGATACAATTCATTGAGAGTATTCTTCATTATAAACTACATAAATATTTTATGTAATAATATTATAATAATTGAAGAATAAAATTAATACTGAGTTTCAATACTTAAAAAATATTTTTAAGTTATTTTAAAATTAATTTATAATTTTTTAAAATTATAAAAATTAACTGATAATATTGCACCCATTCAGATTCAAATTACGTGGTAGTTGAACTCTAAATGAAGCTAAGCCACTACTATTTGGCTGTAAATATAGTTTTACATAAAACTCTGAACTTTCTGAATTATCTGGTCCCGATGCCTTCGCTTGGCTCAGGCGCGTATCCCCAGACAGTAGTATACGTGCAATTAATTTAGCATGTGCCCAAATATTCCACCATGGCTCAGTCGCGTTGGCCACTTGTGGCACATATAACGTGCGGCGATCCAAACGTATATAATACACACCCTGTAATCAAAAGCATTTACATATTAATATCATGTTTTAAATCAGTTTTGAACATTAGATTACCGTAAATAGTGTGACCAAAAGCTAACATAATATTATTTTGACTAAAATATAATTTTGTTGTTTTTAGAAAAACTAAAAACAAATGTAATATATACAATAAGGTAAAATATTTTTTAATTTTGCGTCACACTATTTCAAAACAACGTTGTTGTAAACGTCATGTTATGTTTTATATACACCACTCGTCACAATTCGCTTACCATAATAATGAGACCGAGAAAAAAGGATCCAAAATGTGTGTACAATGCGATCCATGTATACCACAGACCGGTCGGACAATACGCGTACCACAAGCCAAGCAAAGCGCAATTCTCGATAAACATCACTATGTAATAAATAACTTGCTGGCCGGTTAATTTGCCACACGAATCGTGGTAACAAAATGTCAGCACGTAGGCTAAATAAGCTCCACTTCGATAGTGTTTGCACTTAAAATCGGCAAGTTTAGTGCATTGATTTCTATCAATTTGATTGTTTATAATTAGATGTTCCAAATTAAGTGTGATAAAAATGACCCAGGCAAACATAATTAGCCAATGCCCGAAACCAATGCCAAGCCAAAGCCAATTCACGAAACAAGCGGGACCCAGGTAAAATGGGAATACGCTAGAAAATAGGGCCAGCGCTAATACCCGGGCCATTATTGTTAAAAGTCGCCAGATAAAGTTGAAAATATACTCCTGCGAACATGGTACGAGTTAGATATTAAATGCATGGTTCTATGTTTTGTTTCATTATGTACTATGAATAATACAGGTAAATAATTTTTTTGCAAATATTACCTCAATCTTTAAATAAACATAGTTTCGCTGTGCAGTTTGTGATTTAAAACGCACCAAGTCCATATAGGGGGCCACCTCGTAATTAACCAATGCTGACGATAGGGCCGCCAATGATGTCAACACAGGCACCCAATCTATGTAAAATATAAAAATGTGTAATAAGTGACATGGTAATTAAATAAAAATTTCTTACCAAATATAATTGTGCAGATATCGGGTGACTGAGTGCTAGTTTTAGCCAAGATATAGACCTGCAACACGAGCTGAGGCGCCGATTCCATGAAGGTATCAATGAGTCTCAAACGAGACATTTCTAACTTTTTATAATACACCTCTTTTAAGTGCTCGCATCGCTCTCTAGATGACCTAGCTGTGTCTCTCGATTTTAAACCATGGTCTAATATCTCCCGATATCGTTGAAACGGTCCCAATTGTGTCCACGTCATCAGATGCCTTATATAAATATTACGTGCAGGGTTTATGGACGGCACAGTTTGATTACCGTAGTGCCACTCGTCATACCAGCGCCGCATAATGAATGTCATAACCAGCGAGGGCAACAGTACGAACAACAGGGTGAATCCTAAATACCTGCGCGTGACGTTAAGTCAAAAATAAGGTATAAATTTAAATAACAATTAATGTAACAAATTGATTGTTATATTACCACCAGTCGTGATTAAATGAATGTTTGCCAACCAGGTAAACATCGCTGCCCACGTCCAGCGCGTATATCACGATAGAATATCTTGCCATGAATTTGTCCCAGTCGGAAAATGGTGTGGCCGATGGGGGCAGTTCGCTGGGGGCCTGAATCAGGGGCGCAGTCGGTGTCGACCCTGTGGTCAGTCGGCGTTTGGCCACCAATATTGGCCGGTTTGCGACAATTTCCGGCCCATTGTTTTGCTGACCATTGCTTTGCTGGCCATTGCCTGTAGGCAGTGGCGCCGCCGGTGTCGCCAATGTTATGCTGAAACCCGTGAGACCGACGACCCAACCACTAGTGCTCTCATTCAGATTGTTGTCATTGTTTTGTTGGCCGTTTGTCGGCAGTGGCGGAGTCGCAGCCGCCGGTGGTGTCAATGATGTGTTGACAATCATAGCACTGGTTTCGTTACTACTATTGGTGTCATTCATATTGTTATTGTCCGCCGATTGACTGTTACGGACCGGCGTTTCATTCATTTCATCCATTCATATGTGACTATCAGTGTCTGAAGTGATTGTTTCGGCCATTCATTTAGTATTCATGTGTTTTCGTCACTAATTGTAATAATTAAGTAACAATTAATAATAATAATAATTAGTAATATTGTTATTATTACACAAAAATAATATGCAATACGAAAGTCAATACTAAACGTATTGACTTTACGGGCATTAATGTAAAACTACATAATTATTATTAATACATACCGTATTGTAAGTGAATATAATTAAATAAACACTTAACTTGGTTAAAATAAAAACTTTTACTTTTAGATAAAAATATGAATATTATGTGATGTAATAATTGTTGGTATCAAAAGTTGTTGTTATGAACATGTGCAAATGCAAATAAATATAGTGGTACAGTTGGCAAATAATTGTAATGTTAAACAGATCTGCCATCTCGTTGTTATAAATTAAATCAATTATATTAGGAAAACTTATTGAAACTTTCATGTTAAGAAAATTTAGAAATAAAACTTTTTAATACAAAATATTTGAAACTTTTTTATTTGTAATTTTATATTTTAGATCATGCTTAACATTTATTATTAGATATTTTGATTGTAATCTTTTTAATTGATAAATATTTTACCTATTTATAATTTTTTGTCTATCAAAATAGTTTAATATAAATGAAAAAATAATAATTTACATGAACATAATTATTTCAAAAATAAATTATAGATTAAACATAAAATAATGATAAGAGTTATACAGTGTACATAAAATAGATTATAATTAATTTACTATTTAATTAAACAGTAAATATGTTTTAAAAATTATTAATAATATTTTTACTAAAAAATAAAATCGAATAAAATTATAAATTATACAAATTACTTAGTTTTTAATATAGTTAATTTAATAAAAATAGATGCAAAATATTAATTTAAATTCAATGCAATAAATGTATAATTATAATACAAGTATATAATTAAGCCTAAATAATAATGAACATAATGGTATTAAGCTAAATGTTATATAATAACAATTCCCTGATATAATTCATTGAGAGTATTCATTATAAACTACATAAATCATTTTATGTAAAAATACAATAACAATTAAATTAATACTGTTTGTTATGGCACTTGGCCTGAGTAGCCATTGTGACCAGTATTGAACATTTATCTATCCGTTACTTAACATTATACAGTAGTTTCAATAGAAGTTAAACTTGGTGAGCTGGTGGCCGGCGGGCCAGTGTCACGCTTCCAAATGTCCATGATACTAGACTATAATGAAAAGCGTGTAAATTTTAATATATAATTTTTAATATAAGTAAACTACATGATCAAATTAGTGTTTGAAAAATTATTACCATTATTTTTTAGGTAAATTTTAAAATATACACTACTTGTCACAAATCGCTTACCAGAGCATTGTTTCCAATAAAAAAGCAGAACATAGTCGGCAACACTGCGACCGTTTTATACCACCGATCGTCCGGACACTGGCCGTACCAAACGTACGTTAATAAACAATTCTCGATAAATACAATGATGTAATATATCGATCGCATGTTATATAGTCTACTACTACCACGTGGATTATGGTAACAAAATATCAGCACGTAGGCTAAATAGGCCGTAGATCCAAGTTCTTTCAACGAGGTAACTCTATTAAGACAGACTATCCCGATAAACATAATTAGCCAATGGCCGATACAAAATGCAACCAGGTAAAATGTGAATACGCTGGCAAACAGCGCTAGGGCTAAAATACGGGCCACCACGATGATAAATAGACATACAGAATTATCGTAATACTCCTATACAATAATAATCGCCATGGTTGTATGTATAAGCATGATAGTCCAGAATTGCAGGTCAATCAGCGATTATATTTACATAGAGTGAAATAATTATTCATTATTATTACTATTAATGTTAATTATATAAAAACCTGGTAATATGGCACACATACCTGCGCGTTCTTGTAGGGTATTTGTATGGACTCGTACGACACCAGTGACTTTGAGAGAGACACCAATGAGCTTAATATACACAACACTATTGATGAATAATGTTAAATGATCATTACTACACTTGGTAAATTTAAATAATTAATTAAGCATGCAATATATTCAAATGGGGGTAGCACATACTAGTCCATAAACTGACGGTCTGTGGCTTATCCTTAGCCACGATATAGAGCTGGAGCACGAGCTGAGGCACATCCTCCAGGAAGCAAACCACGAGCATTAAACTGACCATCTCGGTGCTTTTGTGTTGCACCGCGTTTAAATTCATTTGTCTCGATTCACGCGACCTAGATTGTTGCCTGGTGTTCAGTTGGTGCAGTAATATATCGATATTTTGCTGAACCGGTGCCAATTGTGCCCACATTAATAAAGTGCGTGTATAGCGATACCAGACGGGGGGCGTCACAGTGTCGGGCCCGGTGTCGGGTGCGCTGGTAATGTGTTGGGTCGACCAGACAGGGAAGTTCTCGCTGGTATTGTCATCCATGCGTCGTATATTTATCGTTACAATCAACGAGGGTATCAGTGAGAACGCCAGAGTCAGCGCGCAATACCTTTAATAATAAGTCAGAAAATACTGTATAAATGTTAAAAATACTTTTGTAATATAAATATAAAGTAAGATCTACACTTCTACTACACTTTATAAAAAAAGTAACTTAAATTACAAATATTTTTGATCGAGATAATATTTGAATGCCTGCCCATAATCGCTGCCAACGTCCAACACGCATAGCCCTATGAATAAGCATGTCCACGTGATGCCCCATATTGAACATGGTTGCAAACACTTAACCTGTGCTGAGCCATTAGTAGTAGAATTAAGGGTAGATCTCTCGTCCGATACAACCAGTGAGTCCGCCGGTGGTGTCGACGCTGTGCTGTCAATCGTTTGAGTCGACTTCAAAGCCACTCGGTTTGGGCCAACAATTGTCGGCTCATTGTTTTGCTGGACGTGTCCGGCAGACAGTGGCGGAATCGCCGGTGTTGTGTTGGCAGTCCTATTAGTTGATCCGTCACTAGTAGTGGTCTCATTCGTACTGTTATTGTCCGGCGATTGTCTGTTACGGTCAGGCATTGCATTCATAGGTATCTCGTTATCAGTGTCTGAAATCATTGTTTTGGCCATTCATTTAGTATTGATGTGTTTTCGACACTAATTGTAATAAATAAGTAATAATTAGTATTAATAATAATTAGCGATATTTAGTATTATTGTTATTATTGCACAAACATAACATGTAATGCGTTTACAATACGTTTTGTACTGACTTTTGCGGGCATTAATGTAAATTTACATAATTATTATGAATTCATACCGTATTTTAAGTGAATATAATTAAATAAACACCAAACTTGGTTAAAATAAAAACTTTTGCCTTTATTTAAAGTTGATATCAAATATAATGTGATGTAATAGTTGTTGGTATCAACCAGTGTTGTTATGAACATGTGCAAATCCAAATAAAAAGTGATAATGTTTAATATTTATCCCATAGACCACTAGATAGCGGTTAAGCTGTTATTAAATAAACGACTCATAAAAACTCATAGGAACTTAACTTTTAATATAAAACTTTTGAATAATAAACTTTTTTAAATTAATTTAAAATTATTGTTATTTTATAATTTTTAGTACTAAATTATGTTTTATAAACAGATTTATGAATATTTAGATTGTAATTGTGCTAATTGATAAATATTTTATCAATTCAGAATCTCTCTCTCTCTCTCTCTCTCTCTCTCTCTCTCTCAGTTACTTAATTGCAATTACTTATAAAAATTAATGAAATCTCTCTCTCTCTCTCTCTCAAATAAATGTAAAATAAATTTAAATATTGTAAGTTTATGCACTAGAACAATTATTTTAAAAACAAATAAGATCATACATCAAATAAGAAGTAAACGATCATGTACAGTATATAAACTGATTTATAATTTATTCAGTGATTATTATGAAAATAATGTTTTTAACAAACAATTAATTGTAGTTTTAATAAATCAGAAAATTCTATTATTACCATATGTAATAAATTATATAAAATAAATACAAAAATATGTCACAAATAAGCTAGCTTATTTGGTACAAGTCATAAAAAATTAGCACTATTTCACATTTATAATCACATTTTTGTGTCATATGTTGCATCACTAAGACTACACTCCCGATCCCTGTCCTCGTCGTCTACTTGTGTGGTATTAAGTCTCTTAAGATGTGATTTTTTAGCCATATTTAGTAAATGATTGAACATATGTTTCCCAGTCTTGCGGCACATGTCATACAACCGGCCCTTTCGTTGCAGTAAAACAAACGGCTCGTCAAACTCTATGATCTCTCCCGCGTCTAACACCTAATCACGTGATATATAAATGATTTCATAATTAATTTTAATTAATTTACAATATGTTTGAAATACAGACCAAAACGCGATCGCAATCTATAATAGTGTTGAGTCTGTGAGCGATCGTAAGGACAGTACAGTCACTGAATTTGTGACGAATTGTGGTCTGAATTAAGGCATCGGTTTGATGGTCAACATTAGCGGTCGCCTCGTCCAGCACTAGTACCCTATTGTGCCGCAGTATAGCCCGCGCCAGACATACCAACTGCCTCTGACCTACAC